AGTTTGCGAGAGACTCCCTCTTCTTATGAAAATTCAGACATCTTGACCCAGACATAGCTTTCTACCTGAATATCCGACGGTCAACGCCTTTTGTTTGCATGATGGATTATGGCGTGCTATCGCTTGGTCATTGCTGCAATGGCAACTTTGAGCAAACGATCATACTTAGCCCTGAAGCCAGGCCTGCCGGCTGTTAAGCCAACTGGCTGTTCAGGTAATAGGTAGGAGAGAGGCTTACGGATCTGCCAACCGTAATGCAACCTGTTGGGTGTCATGCCAGTGGGGGAATGGACGGAGTTGTTGTACAACCCCTTAATGGAATACAACTCTTCATCCCATGTTTCCTAATCCGGAATAATCAAGGCGCGGAGAAGTTGAAACACAGTCTGGTTGATCTCCTCAACCAAACCATTGGCTTCGGGGTGTCGGCCAGGTGTCATACACAGTCTGATCCCTAGTTGAGACGTGAAGTCTTTCCATTCAGTACTAATGAAGCGCGGATCCCGATCGCTCACAAGAGTCTCCGGGGTTCCAAACTGCAGAATAAACTTCTGGTGGAACTCACAGATCACTAGTTCTGTTGGAGCGTGAGGTGGCAAAGGAATCAGATTAAGGAACTTAGAGAATCGGTCAACAATCACCATGACTTGTGAGTAGCCGTTCTTACTTACCTTTCCCAAGTCGGTGAAGTCGATGGAGACGGACTCCCCGGGACCTTTGGGAATGGGAAGGGGTGTGAGTAGCCCCATGGGCTTTTGTCTGCATGGTTTGATTCGTTGACAAACTTGACATTCAGCCATGAACTTTTCAGCAGTCCCTTTCATGCCAGGCCAATCAAACTGTCTCAACAAATTTGCATACGTCTTTGCCATGCCGAAGTGTCGACTCCGGCCATGAGGCAAATCCAGAAAATGCGTGCGGAGAGGCTCATGGTTGGGAACACACAAGCGGTCGTGGTTCCCGTAGCGACGGAAAATCAGTCCTCCATATTCGTGAAAATCAGGCCGATTACTAGGATCAACCCGCAGCCGCTCAACGATGGGACTAAGTTCCGGATCCTTGGCTGTATGCTCTACGAGCTCCTCCTTCAGTTTTTTCTGGAGGTCGTAGGATCTCACAAGGCAAGTCATGTACTCAAGGTGGGGAGACTATGCGTTAGCGACTCGATTATAACAACCCTTTTTGTGTCTCAACTCAAAGTCAAAGATATCAATTTCATGGAACCAGCGAAGTAACGTAGGGGACAGGGTAGTTTGCTCCTTGATCCACTTCAGAGTCTCATGACCTGAGAACACTTTGAAGTGGCGTCCCAAAAGATAATGCTTCCAATGGTCCAAAGCCATACGTAGAGCATAGAGCTCGCGCATGTGGGTGGAAGTGGCTACCTTTATGCTGGGCATGCGTTTGTTATAGAATTCGAGCGGCAACAAACCATCGTCGTCATCTTGCTGCAGCACTGCTCCAATTCCGTACTGGCTTGCATCCGTAGTAACTATGCGTCAGCGACTCGATTATAACAACCCTTTTTGTGTCTCAACTCAAAGTCAAAGATGTCAATTTCATGGAACCAGCGAAGTAACGTAGGGGACAGGTTAGTTTGCTCCTTGATCCACTTCAGAGTCTCATGATCTGAGAACACTTTGAAGTGGCGTCCCCAAAGATAGTGCTTCCAATGGTCCAAAGCCATACGTAGAGCATAGAGCTCGCGCATGTGGGTGGAAGTGGCTACCTTTACGCTGGGCATGCGTTTGTTATAGAATTCGAGCGGCTGCAAAATATTGCCGTTATCTTGCTGCAGCACTGCGCCAATTCCATACTGGCTTGCATCCGTAGTAACTACGAATGTCAGTTTGGGATCTGCAATGAGGAGTACAGGGTAACTCGCCAATGCTTCTTTCAAAGCTTAAAAGGCCTCCTTGCATGCGGTGTTCCAAGAGTAGGGAACATTCTTACTTGTTAACCGGGACAACGAGCGAGCAACAATCGAGAAGCGGGGTACAAACTTCCGGTAGTACAACGGGAGACCTAGGAAAGAGCGCAGTTCGCAGATGTTCGCGGGCCGAGGCCAATTGCGTATGACTTCAACCTTGGTTGCCTCAGGGTTTAGGCCTGCAACGGACAACCGATACCCAAGATAGATGACGCTATCCTTCCCAAACTTTGATTTCTCTAGGTTGAGTTGAAGTTGCGTCTTCTTGAGGATAGTGAGCACTTCCTCGAGGTACTTGAGGTGTTCCTCCATGGATTTGTTGAAGATTAGTATATCATCGAGGTATACCACCACAAACCGGCCAATCTATGCGCGAAGGACCTTGTCCATGAGGCTTTGGAAGGTGGGCGGTGTGTTCGTGAGACTGAAGGGCATTACGGTAACTCGTAAAGCCCATCGCGTGTTTTGAACGCAGTCTTGTGCTGGTCCGCAGGATCGACTTCAATCTGGTGGTAGCCAGACATGAGATCGATCTTCGAAAAGACCTTGTTCTTGTGATGCGGTTTAGACCGCGATAGTCAATACACATGCGGAGCTTGCCTCCTTTCTTCAGAACAAACAAAATAGGAGCACCAAATTTAGACTCACTAGGCTTGATTCACCCTTCGTCAATCTGTCATCGGAGTTCCTCGAACTCGCCGGGTCCCATTCAGTATACGCAGCCCTTTGGAGGAACAACACCCTCGACGAACTCGATGGTGTGTCGGACCGATCGCGTGGGGACTCCACGCGGCTCGGCCAGAACTTTTGGGAATTGATCGAGTAGGTTTTGGATGTTTGGTGGAACCAGTGGAGGTGGAGGATCAACAAAGGGATCAACTAGAACGAGTCGCAGGTTGCGAATAGAGGCGACCGAATCTGAAGTAGTATCATTTGGACTAATAGAAGGTAGAGAAGTAGAGGTGTTAGAAGTAAAAGTACTAGAAGTAGAATCACTTGCCGAAGTAGTAGTGGTTTTAACCGCAAAAGTAGATGGCACATGGGTAGGACGAACAAAGGCAACATACAACTGTTCGTCCTCTACCCGGTGTTTCATGGGTCAAAGTTGCTGCCTTGTACCACAAGTCAACAATTTCCATCACGGAGGTCTATGATCCCTCCGGACATGGATGGAAGGCACGACATTGACGACATCGTGTGTGAAGATGTCTTCGGAACAGGAGGTAGGGGTCGTCCACGGAAACAGTATAAGGTCAGGTTCGCTTTTCAGGAACCAGAGGGCAACCGCTGGTTTACACGAACAGAATTGCTTGAGACCGCTCCCGCTGTAGTTTGCGCCTATGAGAGAGATAAAAAAGATGAAGGTCCAGCCTACTGAAGTATTCTCGGAGAACCTTGAATTTAGGCCGGCGGGAGTGAAATGGTTTTCACCTTTTGCAGACACAGATGCAGATCCCAGGGCTCGATCCCCAGACCTCACCTTACCTTACCTTACCTGTGTACAGTATCAAGTCGACCCTGTGAGTCTTGAACCCTTGACCTGTGTGTTAGTAGTTGAAAGTTGTCTGTCGTAGGTCTGAGTGGTTGTCAGGTCTTGAACCTTAGACCTGTCGAAGTAGGGGTCATACCTGCATAGGGGTCATAGTTGTTGTAGTTCTGAAAGGTCAAGGTCGTAGCTGCTACAGTCCTGAAAGGTCAAGGTCGCAGCTGCTACAGTCCTGAAAGGCCCAGTTGGCAAACTTCCGGAAGGTCCGGGCAAGTGGTGAGTCCAACTTCGCTTAGTCAGCGGTACCCAGTCCCCGTCTCACTTTGTACAGTCAGCACGTACCATGAGGGACTGTGTGCACCATGGGCCCGGTGGAAAAAGGGCAGACCAGCGACTTACAGAAGTATAAATCAAGAGGCAGCATCCAGCCATTCCTTCATTCCTGCGTTAGCCATGCGGAAGCGCTGCCCTAGCGTCTTGTGCAGAGGCCTGAAGTCGAAGTGGGCTGAGGTGGTCTGCAGAGGCCTGAAGTCGAAGTGGGCTGAGGTGGAGATTAGCGCAGCCATAGCTGCTTGTAGATAGAAGTAGTTGGCGGCCATAGCTGCCATAGCTAGGGATAGGTGTTAGTCAGAGTGAATGGGTGTGTATGTGTTACAGAGCCTGTGTACAGGGGATATTCACGGAGGTCCGAAGTCGAGTGAGTGTGAACAGTTGGGGGACACAGTGTTGGAGGGAGGATGTGTGAGCGCCCAGACGCCATAGCCAATTGGAAGTGAGTTTGTAACTGAACTGTGTTGTCGGCTTCACTATCTCTGAGTTTTGTGCGGGTGCACAGCGTCAGTGTAAATTGCCATCTGTTTGCATGTATGGGAAGTGAAGAAGAAAGCGAGTCTGATTGCATTGTGTTATTTTATTCTATTAATCCTTCTTTTTAATCCCTATCTTGTTCTACATCAGCAAATCAACCAACCCGAGGACATTGTTCTTCACACTTACCGCAACAGTCTTGCATGTCTATCCTCAGCTGCTTTTATTATCTGGATGATGGCTTGAAATCTGTGCTTGAACAGGATGGTGATGTGGTCAGCGCTGATTTCTCTCACTCACTGTTTGTTTCCCACTCCTTCAGGGTGCGAGTTATCCTCAACGTCTGATCAGACAATGAGGTCCATCTGCTGTTCGCCGGTCCTTCTCATGTCCATGGTGCTGTTTCCTGGACCTATCAATGTCCGGCTGATCTTCTCTTCGGGATGAGATGTCCGTTTCTCCCACATTCATTAGCCTATGTATTGGTCATTAGACATTTCTTCACCTCTACCCATGTGGAGATGGGTGCTGTATTGTGGCTCTGATGACCTGCACCTTAGCTGATGTGGTGGAGCCGATTGGCAGACGGGGAAGTCATGTGATCTATACCTTGCTCGACTGGGTGTGAGTACACATTTGCTTATTAGCCCTTTCGCCACTCGACCTTTGTTTGCCTCTCCCTGGTCAATCCTATTCTGCAGTATGCTGAATGAGATCCACCATCTGGAGAAGTCGGCTGTACTGTTTGTGGTTCTGATGATGTCCACGTAGCTTGTCTCGAGTGGAGAGGCGCAGTCCATTGCATTCCTCGATTGCCTACGAAGCGGGATCATGCGTCGGATTGAGGAAATGGAACCGTCACCTGCGGTGCGTGCGCGGCAGATGATGGCAGCAGAAGGAATAAGATCGAGCGCAAGCTCAGGCTCGCAGTCCAGCTCCAGGAGGAGTGCACGTTCGAGCTCTGGCAGTAGCCGTGTAGCGGATGAGGAATGGGAACTGCTGCAGCAGTCCAGCGCAGGTGTGAGAATGGTGAACCAGTGGGGATCTGCAAATCGAAGTCGAAGTGATTGGCCACCGGTAAATGCAAGGGACATCAAAGCAGAGGCGAGGTCAATCCGAATGTCTTCCGGGAGGGGTATCTCTAGCCAAGGAGTAAGAGTGCTTGATGATGAGGGCCCCCTTGCTGGCCTGGATGGTTTCTATATAGGCGAGCTCTTTGTGACGGAGAAAACTATTGGCTATGGCAGCCATGGCACCGTAGTTCATGAAGGCTACGTACGTGATGGTACTCCTGTGGCGGTTAGTATTCTTAGCAATCTCCTGTCCTGCGCTTACTCTACCTTTTCCCTATCTCTGCCTGCTTTCGTCACTTTCTGCCCTCCCCCTCCCATTCTTTCCCTCCCTCCCATTCTCCCATACCTGTTTCTAATCATACCTCTCTCTATCCATTCAAAATTATGTAAATAGCTTAAAATAAGACAATTGGCCTTTGCAAATCACACGATCCATTCTATTGCACCAGTCATATCCACAACTTGCCTTTAACATACCCGTGGTTGAAGGAACCACGCTTTCCGTGCCTCACCATCCAGAATAATACCCCTTTTGGGCACTTAACTTTGACCTTCCGGGTCACAATTTTGGCATTTCTTGGACTCACATAGACAGGTCCTACTGGCGGAACCCGGTAAGCCCTGACCATTTCGGTAAAAAAGTGCCGAAGTTCGTTTCTTGGACTCACATGGACAGGTCCTGCTGACGGAACCCGGTAAGCCCTGACCATTTCGGTAAAAAAATGCCGAAGTTGCGGCCAGGAACGTCAATGTTTAAATGAGTAATAATGGTTACCAACCAACTGGTCCTATGAGAGGTGGTCATAAGGCTTCTGTTCGCTGCTGATACGAGGTTGCATCATACCCACTAACCGGCATGATGCATCTACCTGCCCTGTAATGCTGAGTGGATCATGGACTGTTGCTGGCATGGTGTGCAGAAGTCGTGAGGGGAAGAAGCAGGGAAGGGGGTCCGCTGCTTCCGCTGCTTTTGATCCCAGACATAGGCTCTCGGTCCACTGCACTACGTTCTAACCGCACCTTGACCTGGAAATGGTCCCAATACATTCAAAATGTTCAATCAGTCGGCACATATACGGTACGTGGAAGAGTCCAGATACGTGTTGAATGTTGACGACAGGAGCGAGGCCCGTACAGTGTCATACATGATGGAGTGGACACCCCTTTTTGTTTCTTTTTAAATCATCTGAACTGAAACGGTTTCACCTAGTTGACCCGACATTTGCAGACAGTGAGATTCGATCTCTAGACCTGTTCCTGAACCCTGTACATTGACCACTGTGTGCTGAGTGAGATTTGATCCCTAGACCTAAGCCTAAAACCCTGTACAAAGACCCTGTGTTCTGAGTGAGATTCGAACGCGTGACCTGTCCTGAGTCGTAGGTTAGGCAGTAAGTCAATCAGTTGGATTTGATCCGTAGATCTTCGTATTAGTAGGTTAGTACTTTACCATTGGGTTTAGTTTAGGCCTTCTGGAACTCTCTACCTGTCTCTACGTGGGTCCAAGGGTCAGTCAGTCCGTAGCCTTAGCTGTAGTGAAAGGCCAGTCTGTGGGTTCTAGAATGTCGTAGGTGTGTCTCAGCTGCGTCTTGTCAGCAAGTGCCAAGCAAGTGGTGAGGGTCCCACACGGTTTCCCACAGGTTCCACACGTTTTGGCCCAGCATGCCAACGTGTTCTGGAGGCTTCCAGGCCCAGGCCCACGCGGTTTGGGGACCAGGCCCACACGTTTTGAGGCAGGGCCAGGCCACCTGCGGAGGAGTATAAATAAAGAGGCAGCGGCCAGCCATTGATTCATTCGCCTGTGAGCCGTACGGAAGCACTGCCTTGGTGACTTGTGCGTGGAGGTCTCCAGGTGCCCGGAGCTGAAGTCGGCAGTGAGGAAGACGATGACTATAGCTGGCCAGGAGGAAGACGACGGCGGCCATAGCTAGGAGGAGGAAGTTGACGGCGGCCATAGCCGCCCAGCTGCTGGCACAGACAGTGTACAGAGTGTGTGTGTATGTGTAGTGTGGACATTCAGGGTAGATCCTCGTACATGCGTGCATGAAGGAGAGTGAGGCTGGTGGTGGAGACCGTGTTCAACGACCATAGCCGCAAGTTGTACAGTTGACTTAAACAGAGTTTAAGTGCAAGTTCGTTGTTGATTCTGAGTTGAAGAGTTTGGTTTTGCCATCAGTTCGCGTGTATGCATGTTGAAAGCAAGTTTGGAGAGCAGTCTGATTTCACTGGTATCGGAGCTGGTACCCGTTGTCCACGCTGGAGCTGCAGCAAGCGAGGAAGGAGAAAGCCGCCGTAGCCAGAGTACGACAGAAGCGTGAGAGAGACACACAGAGAGAGAGAGGAGGCCACAGTGGACGGCAGCCATAGCTGCTGAGCTCGGAGAAGAAGGCGACCAACAAGAGAAGAGGAGGAATTGATGCAGAGAGAACGAAGGAAGTTGATGAAGAGGGAGGTGAAGCAATCATAGCCAAGGTGTAGGAAGAAGAAGAGGGCGGCGAAGGAGAAGGTTGACCACCATAGCCAGGAGGTTGGAGGGTTGACCCGTGGGGTTGACCAAGACCGTTGACCAAGATTGATCGGAGCGTTGACCAAGACCTTTGACCAGAGCGTTGACCAGAGTGTTGACCAAGCAGGAGTGAGAAGACGAGCGGTATTATTTCTCCAAGCCCTGGCCTAGCCCTTACCCTATGGATGTGCACCCTCACCTTGGTACTTGCTGACGTCAGGTCTATCAGAGTCAGTTATATCTCCCTGTCACTCTGTCCAGGTCGATAGGACTCTGTGGATGTGGTTGTAGAGCTTCGAGCCCAAACCCACACGAAACTTTGTAAGGCTAAAGGCCGCGTCTGACGAATGACACGTCGTGGGGACAAGACCCCAAAGGACCGGTACTGACCGGCGGGCTTCTCAGTGTGGCGTGGTAGGCCCGACCTCCGGATGTGGGCTGTGTGTCCAGCTGTCTAAGTCTTGAGAGGACTTGACTGATCACGTTGTCCTGTCTGCGACGTTAAAGAATTCTTGAGGAGTTATGGGGGATCTCCTTAAATGCCCCCTGATCAGCCAGTGAGTCCTGTAGTGACGGCCTTAGTAGACGCGAGCAGTAGACAGTCAGTTGTCCTAAGTTCTTCAGAGAGTCAAACCGGTAGGTCTACGTGTTGAGGAGTGGAATTGCCTGTGACTGTGCACTTTTACCATGGTGACCACCAGGTTTGGAGTTAGTACCACCCCTTATAGTAGGGAGCAAGAAGAGAGAGCTGCCGCCCTTCTGAGAGAAAGGAAGGAGAAGATGTAGAAGAGGGAGTTGATTAAGCAGGCAAAGATGGTAGCCTGCTAGAGGAGCAGGAGGCGAAGAAGAAGCAAATGGAAGAAGAAATGGAAAGGTGGAAGGAGCAGGAGGAGAAGATGGCAGCAATAGAGGCTGAAGTAGAGGAAGAAGTGGAAGTCAAAGAAGAGCTGCTGCTAGAGAGGAGGAGGGGAGAGGCGAGTACAAGCCAGGCGGCACAAGACGAGGTGGAGAAGGCAATTGACGAATGGGTAGCACATGTGGAGCTGGGGGAAGATAGAGAAGTCGAGTTGATAATAACCTCGGAAGAGAGAGAAGTTGGAGACAGAGAGGGACCCCTTGATGAGAAGGCCTATAGAGCAAGAAAAACAGTTGGTGTGGAGATTGCGCCTAAACCAAGAGAGTCGGACGTTTGGAAGCGGCAGAAAGGACAGAAAGGGACCTAAGAGCGGCAAAGACTAGAATGGGAAAAATCAGGGAAGAGATCGAGATAGGAACTTAACTCGATACCCTGATTCGTAGTGTAGAATCACTTCGCACAGCGAGAGCAAATGCAGCATATTCGCAGCCACGATATTGCGTTAGAGTTGATACGCGCTGGATTTAAAGATTTTGCACGCGACATGATGAAGTACTTGGTGGACCAGATCCACCTTGCGATTAGTAGCACCAAGGTATTATGCATAGGCGCCATAGAGGGTGCCAAGTTAGTGGCTTCCAAGGAAGAGGAGCCTGCCCCACGCTGCGAGAAAGTCAAGGTCCGTTTCCTTGAGCCCTTTAGTGGAAAGAAGGGAGAGGACTTCGACGATTGGGAGGCCAACGTAAATTCCTATCTGTACTTACAGGGCATCACGTCAGAAGACCATGTTTTGGTGGCCTTCTAGTCATTAGGAGACAAAGTGACCAGCTTTGTGAGGTCGCTAGCACTTGACGCAACTTGTGACAATGATATGGTCACGTATTCACGAGTCACGCCCCTCTCCGAGTTCCTTAAGTCTCTTAGGGAACGATTCTCAGATGTCATGCGGGGGCTTAAAGCCTCTGACAAACTGCAAATGATCCATACACTTCAGTGGAAGAGCGTGCATGCCCTCAAGTCTGCCATGGATGAGTTGATTGCTGCGCCCGGACATGGAGTCATTGGTGCACAGTTAGTCCAACTCTTCTACCGTGCATTGCCCAGCGGACGACTATAACGGAGATGACGACGAGAGAGAGAGAGAGAGAGAGAGAGAGAGAGCAGGTAAGTCTCCAACGTCGCGGCTGGCCTCATGGTACTTCCATCAATAGGATGAGCAAATCGAATGAATCTGGCGCTATAGCGTGGGAATATACACTGCCATACTTGT